CCATTAGGGGGTGTGGCTGAAGCGTGACAAAACTCCTAAACTTGATTTTTAAATAAAAATGTTTATATCAAAACTACAGTTTTGTGAGAAAACTTTAAGCAATCTTGCAGATTTAAGAAGCTGACAATATTTTTTTATTTTTCACAAAATCATGGATCAAAACATCCGGTATAATATTTTACTCTTTGTGAGTTAAAAACATAAAAAATAACTACTTTTTACTCAATGAGGTTTTAAAATAACAATAAACAAACATCCGAATACATAATCCAGAAGAGCTCATGTGATGGAAAATTTCACTTGCGTCAGCAGAATCCATGCATCAAACAGAAATAAATGAGCTCAATTTTTATCTTTCTGTAAAAGAAAAATAAATAAAAGTTAAAGTTAAAAAAACAAAATTCAAAACCTACCCCCAAAATGTTCCCTATATAGTGTCATATTTGATGCTGTTGCGGAAAAAGCGCAGTRAAAAAGCCGCATTAATACTCACATCTTCTCTGCAGCTGTTTGAACTGACTCACAGGCAGCTGAGGAGGAGGAGGAGGAGGAGGGGTCGCTGTGATGAAGGAGAGGGAGGGTTTGAAGTACAGGAGGAAAACAACAAAGAAAAAAAAATCAAGAAAAAGCAGCTCTGTAGGCACTTGTCCAGGTAGAATCAGGGTTTATTTTAATCAGTGAAGAGCTTTGAGGAGGGTGGGGGTGGGGGGATTCTTTTTGGCGCAGAGCGGATCTTCCTGCGATGCGTTTTACACCGAAAAGTACCGCAATACAGGTCCGAGCATCCAGGCTGTGCGCTGAGTCCGTGAGGCTGGGTGGATGATGGTAAAAAGAAACAAAAAAACAGTTTTAAATCCTGACTCCGGGTTGATTTTTGTTTTGGTTCCTGCCTCCGGCTCTGAAGTGATGCTGAGGGTTCCTCCTGGATGCTGACCGGGCCGCAGCGCTGATTGGCTGCTGGGGTTCCTAAAGCTGCTAAAACAAAATCTTGCGATTTATATAAAAATATATTCAAAAGGATGAGGCGGAGAGAAAAAGTAGTGCGGTGCAGGAGGAGATCTGTGTCGCTCCTTCCCGTTCCTCCTCTTCTGGCTGCTTTCTGCGCTTCTGGGAGGAAAGTGCGCTACTTTGGTTCGTGCAAAGTGTTTCAGCTGCAATAATGCGTCTCCCCCCCTCCCCCTCCACTTGGGCTCGGAACGACAGTGCGGCACCTCCTCTCCTCCCCCACCTCCTCCTCCTCGGTGCTGCAGCTGGGTTCGGATGGGACGAGACTGCGGAACAGGGTTGCATCCTGAGGAGTGTTGACTCGACTGTTTTCTGCTTTCTGGCCGGGGCTTTTCCCGGTTACATCCTGCTCCCGTAGTACATTTACAACATCACATGTCTGATTTGAACCCCACTTTTGCTTTAATGCAACTTGATTAATACATTTATGCAATAAAAACACATTTATTATGAATGAAAAAAGGTGTGCAAAAAATGGGAAGTATGGCAGGAGAGCTCAAAACACAACACTAATTCTAAATATGGATAATAATAATAATAATAATAATAATAATAATAATAATAATAATAATAATAATAATAATAATAATAACATAGCAATTAAATGTTAGTCTATTTAAGATTGGTTTGATCTATCTGAATACACAGGGCTGTCAAAAAGTATTCACCCCCTTAGATTTTTTTTTCACGTCATCAAACAAAATCCCACCAGTGGGACGCGCCTGAGGCCATGGTTCTTGACCAGAAGAGTCGAATGCCCCCTCAGGTGTGTGTGTGCCAAAGGTCGGCGGGGTGGGGGTGTTAAGTATCTGGGTGTTTTGTTCAGGAGATGGATCGATAGATTGGGGCCTCATCCCCAGTAAYGGGGGTGTTGCTTCGGTCGGTCATAGTGAAGAAAGAGCAGATAAAYGCCAGGACTAGGGCTGCCACAAACGATTATTTTAATAATCGATTAATCACCGATTATTTATTCGATTAGTCGACTAATCAGATCATACGTTAATTGAATATAAAACATACAGCTTATCACGTCAGAATGCAGCTGCTGTTATATAACCATCGTTAGATTTTAGCTATATGCTAACTAAAAATAATTGCTGTGGAAGGCAAGTTCTGCTCTGCAGATATTGCACAGGTTTCTCTTTTATTTTCTTAAAATGATCCCACACTTTTGAGCTCCGTTGTCAGGTAGCCATGATACCAGAGCCTGTCTGTATAATGTCTTGTGACGTCCACGGCCTACCCCAGTTACCACTACTGTGCATGTGTGTCAAGGACAGAAAGGCAGATGTGGCAGTGGAAGCTGTCAAAGCAGTTTGGAGAGAAAAACAAAGTAAAGAACAACAACAAACAAACAAACAAAAAGATTAATTGATTATTAAATTAGTCATCGATTATTTTAATAATCGATTAGTGTTCGATTAATTGATTAATCGTGGCAGCCCTAGCCAGGACCCAAAGTTTCCTACCGTTGCTCAGGAGTATCTAACTGTGCCTGCTCATCAGTAAACCAGCATGAAGATTTACAACGCTTTGTGCCACAGTAGCTCCTCTGCAGTGTTCGACCACGTTAGCCATCAATAAGCTGATCCTGTCAGTGGTAAACCCTCGGATCTCTCCTCGTTAGCACTGAGCTCCAAATACAAGCATTTATAGATCTGACTGAACGGTCTCGACCCAGTTGCCTAGTCATGCCACTCGTGTTGTACTTTTTCTTGCTTTAGTCATTTTTAAAACCGTTTATTTGCTTCTGGTTTTATTGTCTCTGAAAGTAAGTAACTGATTCAAAATTAGTCAACTGAAATCAATTGTCATGAGAGTGCATTAGTACCTGTTTTTTGAACACAGGTTCATCATTTACAATCATATTCAATGTGTTTTGTAACTAGACGATGTATGGAAAAATACAAGAAATAATATTAATAAAATTAAAAATAAAAAAAAAAGATTTCTGTTGGTTTGCTGTTTAAATTGATTTCTTCCATTCAGAACAACTCTTTGAGGGTTAGATCTTACTGTCTAATCCAAACTCCTTGAGACATGCATGGTTAGTCTAAAACAGAGGTTCTCAAACTGGGGTCCCAGGACCCTCCAAGGGTCCTCTAGCTGTAGCTTGGGGTCCTCAAAAAATTCCAATAACTTGATTTTTAATTTTTTTACTTATTTATTTTTTTAGCATTGTATGTTGAACAATGTAAAATGTAAAATAGTAGTAAATTACTTTTAAATCAGCATAAGGTTTATAAGTGGTCCCTGGAAAACTTTCACCTTTGTAAGTGGTCCCCAGACCCAAAACATTTGAGAACCTCAAGACAGGAGAAAAATGAAAATGCTGGTTTGAATAAATAAAAAGCAAAGTCACCTTTTCGGGTTCCATGTTCAAGCTTTTATGTCATTTGCCATTTTTGTTTAGATAATTCTATCATTAGAAAAAACAAAAGCAAATATTAAGGACATAACGTCTTTAACAAAATCATTTTCTTCGTCATTACAGCACAGAATGAAATAACATCCCCAATCTGACAGCTCTTTAGAGGTTTCCTGATGATGTATACAGTATTAACGGTGTTGTCCATGACGGTTGAATCGTTTGTAGAGGTATCTGATATTCTTCTCCAAGTTGTGTCTGTCCGCAACCATCATTCTGTCCCCCACCATCTTCTTTTTCCTAATACAACGCTGCAGTTCGTTACCTTTGAACCCCTTCACCCAGCTGGGGCCAGTAATTAGGTCTTTCGGATGCGCTTTGAAGTCCCCTGCAGACACAAAGACACAAAAAGATGCAGCAAAGATCGAGTCTAAGAATAAAGACAGAAAAAAGCACAATCTCTGATGAAATTTTGTTTTATTTGGATTTAAAAAAATGTGTTTTCAAACCATCAGAAATTATTTATGCTACTGTTTTCCCCCAAATTATAATAAAAACACATATTGTGAATTGTTTTTCTTAAGTTCTGAAAAGGGTAGGGTCTTTCTTTCTCAAAACAAACCAAATATAAGAATCGGTTTAATATTATTGTAAAAAATATTTGACTCCATCGTTACAAAGCACWATTTTAAAACACGTACCCAAGATGCCAATGTTGTGATAAACACCAAACATGGTCTTCTTAAAAGTCCAGTTGTCAACATTCCTTGGCGGAGGCATACCACGCATCTTGAGCTGACAGCATGTTCCTAAAAAAAAAAACATTTTCAGCAACGCATGTACAAAAATACATTCATTACAGCACAGGCAGAATGGTAGATTCACATTAATTA